CCCGAATGGGCTTAGCCCAAAAGGCCCGGTTTTTTCTGGACATATATATTTAAGCCCGAGCCCGATGTTTTTTAGGGCCGGGCCGGACTAGCCCGCGGGCATTAGCCCTAATTGACATGCCTAGCTACGAGTGATGTAGGATGGACTATATGCTGGTGAGTTCTCCTTACAAGATTGGAAAGCCATATTGTCCAAACCGATGAACGTAGATCGTAGCGGCACCACATGGGTTCACCATAAAGGAGGTTGGGGGCCCGAGCAACAGACCGATCACAGGTAACTTTTAGATATAATTCACATAAGTTAGAATTATTTTACAAAGGCTAGAAGTTACTTGTGATTGGCTTGTTGCTCGAGATTCTAACTTCCTTCGTTGTAAACCCCATAGGTACTGCTACGATCTATGCTATCTCTTAAGGCGCCAATCTAGCTTACACCACCCCCAACGTCGGCTTAAGCAACTTAGGAAAATCTCCCACCGCCCCACTCTTCTTAGAAGAGTTTAAAACATGTGGTCGATTCTACCCCACACCCTTTTGGCTATATCTCGAAGTGCCCTCTCACTTTCTCTTCTGTTCAACATCAAACTCACAAATTGAGTAGTCGCCCTGAGCCAGCTCCAAGAACTGTGACTCCATCCTATCTAACACCACATACGAAAAATAATTTCATATATATTAACTAACCATGTCAAAATTAAACCAAGAATAACCAAAACAAATAATAAACCAACTCCAATTCAGTTAAATAAATAACCAAACAATCTAATAAAATCAGTTTCAGCTGCCTTTAAGCCACACCAGTACCACAAAGCTTTCCACCAGATAAGAATACGTTTTAACATCCAAAAGCTGCTCCAAATATGCCATCCCGAACTGCTCTTAGGGTTTCTGATTTTGACAGATTTTGCAGTTACTTGTCCAAGAAGCAGTGCACATAACTTTTTGAATACAACTCTGGTAAGGGCTCCCTAAGTTTATATGGACTCTTGGGTTGCTAAAGAACACTCCAATGTATTTAACTTGACGAACAGACTTACTATATTGTGTTGATGAGCCTCCATAGTTCATTCCTCCACACTGCTTTTATTTCTTAAGTTCTCTTTCTTGTTCTTCACGTCTCCACCTCTGATCACTCCAGCTTTGATTCTTCTACCACCATCGAGGCTTGCCATAGCTAGGGCAAGACTAAACAGACCCACTAGTTCTCTCTCTTCTCCTTGGCTGATCTCAACGCCACCAGTAATCTATATATACATATATATAACTGATGGATTCATCGCTGCCTCGCCATCTCCGTGGATATACAGCTCTGGTCTTCACGGGCTTCTCCTTCATGATGGATTATTATCTCTTTCTCTGATCTCTCTAATGATATTTCAGGTTTCTCTCCATGGAAACAACGGCGGTAACTTTAGGGTTAAAGTTCTTACGAGTCCTCCTCTCTTGTTCCTTTCAATATGGCAACGATGTGCAAATATACATCCGCTACAAAACATTTTAACGTTTACGGACCTTAGACTAATGGGCTTTGATTAGTCCAACAACAAAGGTATGTGGTCTCTATACAAAAACCAAGTTTACTACTTTAAATAATGGGTTTGGTGCAAATAAACCATCTAAGTCTTGCAAGTTTACCTCCAAATCAAGAAAATGAATGTCAATCCCGCAAAGTCAAAATAAATACGCAATATACCCCGTTTGTCTCATACCATTTTTGTAAAATTTGTAGAAATAATACATCACATCGAAGCTCTCGTGACTAAAAGTTCAAATATATCTATAAAATTTTGAAAAATAAATGTACGTGAGCGTAAAATTGTTTAGAATTTGTTTTTTCTACTATAAGAGATATATTGCGTATTATTCTTGACTTAGTATAATTGTTTTGTATTTTTGGATATGAAGAATAGCGTTGCAAAAATTGACGACTTGAAGGGTTTATTTGCACAAAACCCTTAAATAATTATGTTACCAACTAAAACAATCCTTAACAGAGTTGCATGGTTTACCGAAACACATGTGATCGATGTTCAAGGAAAGAGATTTTGTTCTTTTTTTGTTTTTTGATTAACCCTATCGGCTGATCCTGTCAGCCCCGGTGGAAACGCAGCAAAGTACTTCAGAGTGGACTACTCCCCGAAGGACCACCACACTGTCTATTTCGAGATTGTTCTTAGTTAGCCAAACTACACATATGTTCTAAAACATGAATCATAATCGATATATAAGATTTTTTTTTTGATTAAGATGTAAAATTTATTTGGAAAAACGTTTTTATATCTAGTGCAATAGAATTTCTAAAAGTTCATTATACAATGTGTTTCAAATATAAAGTAGAATAATCGTTTTTAGCGTGTCGCAAACTAAAGTGCCATATAAGATTTACTAATATATCAGTTTATATTCTATTTCTAAATAGGATAGATTTATCAAACAATCTTTTAGACAAAATTTGTTAAAAACACATATAAGAAAAGGATTTGTACCATGTTTTTAAAAATAATAGGTAAATTGAATATTGGGAATTTATTAGGATATTCAAATTCTAGACAAAATTGAATATTCAACCTTTTTTTTTTGTGAAAAGCAATGAATATTCAGTTCTTACGCCCCACAACTACAACATACATGTAAAATTTATTGGGAGATTGATTTTTAAAGATTTTTAGAGTTTAAGATTCTATTGTTATTGGTCTATGGATTTTTAGATTCTTAATAAAATCTCTTGTTATTGGTGTATGTATTTTGTAACTCTATTTAAAATCTTTTGTTATTCAAAAAGTTGAGTATTTATTAATTTTCCAATTCTATCAAATTCTAGAGTTATTGGGAAAATGATTCCTACATATTTGGTCATTAAAAACAACTTCCAAAATACTGCACTTATCATAAGTATTTCTAAATTCTATCATTTGAAGAATCTACTAAACACTAAAAATTTAGGTGAACATTATTTTAGAATCTACAAAGTTTGTTAAGAATCTTAAAATCCCTAAACTTTTGAAATCCACAAACTCTTTTAAAATCAGCCTCCCAATAACCCCCTAATCTACAAATCCTTTGTTATTCAACCATGGATTTCAAAAAGTCTAATAATGAATTAATGATTGTAAAATCTACCTCAAAATCCACTTTTGCTGAAAACAATTTACGGATTTGATTTTTAATGATTCTGAATTTGAGAGGAAAAGAAGATTTTCTTAGTTAAAAACAAAAATATTAAAATCTCATGAATTTATGTGAGATTTGAAAGGATTTTACGATAAATCCTCCGTACCATACTCTGGCTACTAAAAACCATTATTCTATATATTTTTTTGTCAAACCACTATTCTAAATTAAACAAGAGAAATTAGATGAGGATTTGGGGGACTTGAGTTAGGCTCTCGGTAAATATCAAAACTGTGCCAATAGTAAGAACGAAGCGGATTATATTGACATCAAATAAGAATAAAAATAATGATTACAAATGCTAATACAACTCTGCTTTAATCTATAGAGTACAATCCTTTTTTACAGTTTTGAAGCTCTATATATGCGAGCTTCGAAGCTATGTATATGCGAGCTTCAAAGCTATATATATGCTAGCTTCGAAGCTGCTAAAAGGTTCAAATATAGAGTCACTTCTCAACACCCTCATCAGATATTCTCGACTCGTAATCGTTCATGATCTTCTCACTAGTAGGAGGAGACCTCGCCATCGGGGCAGGTGGTGCTTTACTCGTATTTACTAAATGGACAGTTAGGGATTAATCTCAAAGCCTAAATAACAGGCCTATAACAGGCCTGACTGATAAATAAGTTGCTAAGCCTGGTACCAACACATATTTTAATTTTTGTACAAGAAATCTTTCAAAAATATTATAAATGAATAAAATATAATCTTGACAATAGAATACAATGTTATGTGGGATACTGAAATATCTCAGCTACCCATAAAATATTGTAGCCCTACTTTATTTGATAAATTTTAGACTTTTTGAGTTCTTGTCAAATATGATAATAAAAGTTTTATATTGAGTGTTTGCTTTTTACATGATTACGAGAGTTTCTTGTAAAAACGTCATATTTTTAAAATCCCAATATGAATTCCTCTTTTTGAAACTCAGTTTTTGATGTGCAAATCTGAAACAGTCTAGTGAATTTTAGGTTAAAATAATAAAATTCTTACATGTAATCAAAATGAAACTAAAAGTAAGATGAAGTTCAAATCAAAATGTGAAAAATCTTTCTGAATACTCTTGGCATTGAGACGATATTGGTATGTCATCAATTTAGTGAAACCGGTTGAGAAAAACTTTAATAGTCTCTAAAATTTGAAATCAAGAATCTTATTTTATTCCACTACAAGTTTTCATATATAATTATATATCCATTTAATTTTTATTTATTACGTGACTTTTACCAATTAAAAAAATATGTCATGAAAATATATTTCTTAACAAGAGACTATTTATTAAGTAAATATGCGTTTCGAAAGATATTGTATCATCTTATTATCAAACCGATAAAATTTAGGTGATGAACTGAAAAGAAAATTATATATGCAATTTATCTTATGAAATTATATATGTCATGGATTATATAAGTTTGTGTGCTTTTGTAAATCTGGATTTATAATTGTCTATTAAGTGTGTAAATTATTTTAGATACTGGAAGAAGATAGTGTTAATTTGATCTAAGAATAATACATATTTAAAGAGATACTAATTTTTTTGTTTACTCTTCTTTTATGAGATGAAATTACATTTAATCTATTGATATATCAATCAATAAACTTTTATACAAAACTTTTAAACCAATGATTTCATAAACAAACATTTTGTTTTAAAGATATGTAGGACTTTTGTGACGAATATTGACGAATTTTCCTTATGTCAAAAAGTCGTCGGAAATTTATCGAAATGAGTCGTCGAAATTTTTTATGTTTATTTTTAGTGACGGAAAGTAATTATAAAAAAAAATTGTGGTTTAGCTAGTTAATTATTTTTCATTCCATGGTAATTTTCAACATATTTCATTAATCTTATTTCTTATTTCACAAACGCACTCAGTTCAAACTGGAGTCACAAGGTCAGAGTAAAATGTCAATAAAAATAACTTTACAGATGAAACATTGACTATTCACTACACTTCTATAGTCATAGCCATGTAAGCCTTGACCATCTTCAAGAAGCGTATCACAATTGCGTGCACTGATACTTCATATCACTTGATCTGATACTCCCTCAAAGGAACTTAGAGCCGCGATTACCGATTCATATACTTCAATTCCTTTCATGAATACAGTATCCTTTAGGAACTGAGGCCACAAATAAGTGTTTATTATCAGTACTGTGATTATATATATATACAGAGTCAAAGATGGTAATAGATAATATCATCATGCGAATACCTCGTTATGCTCGTGCAATAAAATAGGAGTATTGGTCATCGGAGAGAAGCCCAGAACTGGGATTCCGAAAAAGCGAAAAAAGCGTGAATCTGTAGTTGAAGGCAAAATCTCGGGCTTTGCGAGTTTTCCTCCAGTTGCTTCAACAGCATGCTTGAAGATAGACCACCATGGATTTGATTCATTTGTTGGAGTCATCATAGGTCGCCCTAAATGATCTCTTAACTTTCCTTTCTCGTTTATCTGGTGCAAGAATAAAAACTGATCAGATTTGTTCACTTAGTTAGACTAAAATGAAAACTCTTGTATTATGTGATCACATTGCAGAGGGGTAAACACTCTACAGCATATAGTCAATCTCACTAAACAAAAGCCAAAGAGGACATGTAAGTATGTACCATTAAGAAACGAGCTCACATATTTTACAAAAATTTGTAGCTACTTGTTGGTTTTTACTTAAGCTTCGATTAGGACATATCATATCCTTGTCCTCATGAATCTAAAATAAAGGTTGGAAAAGAAAGAAATCAACTACAAACCAGTAAGTCTATTCATATCCTCATTTATGTGAAACCAATTGGAAGATTCTAACAAAAGAACTCAAACTAGCTTAACTGACTATGACCGTAGTTATTCAAAGTAGCTATCTCAAACATACGTTTTAATACTGACGAAAGCGAAAGTTAAGAAACTTGATACGATCTATAACCTTAACTCCTTATGTGTTTTTGCTCAATGAGCTCTTTCACTCTATCAGACCATGCTTCTTCATTCACCCAATTCATTTACAGTCATGCTTCACAAAACCAGTCCCTAGAACAGTTCTGTATACCATTACTTGCTATTAACTATCGATTCCGCATAGCCACAGAAACAACTAAACCATCACAGAAACAACATCTTAACATAGCAGAGCTTAAGAGTATATTCATTTTACCGTGTAAGTCATGTTCCTTATAGAAGGAGCCCATTCTTCAGCAATCCTTTTCTTCATAACATCAGGATCTGACATTGGAGGCAACCTTATATCATACCCAGCTTCTGCCTCTGATGGCTGCATATTCATCACAAAACCCTGAACAAAAACACAAACACACTCAAAACACAAATCTCTTATAACACATCAAAAATACCAAATTTGCAAAATTGAAAACATCAGCTCACAGTAGTAGAAGGAGTTCCAGCTTTAAGATAAACTGGATTCACAGAGATAACTTCCGAATTCGCACTTTTCCCGGCTTTAACGAAATCGAACTGCGTCTCTCTAAACTTACCAATCAACTCAACACTCTTCATCAAATTCTCCATAGCTGAATTATCATAAAGCTTAGCACCATGACCTGGGATCCCTACAGCTCTAATTACAAGATGCCATGGAGTCCTATCAGCGTAAAAAACCCTAAACTCATCACCAGGGTTCGCTTGTCCTTCATCCATAGCAAACCCCAAATTCAAATCCCTAAACTCCGAACTCGCCGCGAACTTCATCATCCCATCGACTCCACCGATCTCTTCTTCAGGAACATACGAGATATGAACCGTACGGAGAGGAACGAAGCCACTCGATTTCAAATTCCTAATCGCTTCTAGATACTGAACTCCGATACATTTGTCGTCTTGTGCGCCGCGAGCGTAGATACGGCCGTCGATTGTACGGTGAGCTGAGAACGGCGGATGGATCCATTTATCGGATTCGGCGGGGACTGAATCGAGATGAGAGTTGAAGAGAATCGAAGGAAGGTTAGGGTTAGAGCCTAGCCATGTGAGGAGAAGAACTGGTTTACCAGAGACGAATTCGAAGGTTTTAGCAGTGAGACCAATCGATTTAGCTTGGTTAATAAGGAAGGAGACTGGTGCGGTGTAGTTAGGGTTTGGGTGAGCTGTGTTGATTCTTAAGTATTGTTGGAATCGAGTGATTGGTGTATCTTCTTGTTCTTGGCTGTTTGATTGAAGTGAGAAGATGATGGAGAAGAGGAACAGAGTCCACACCGCCATGGAAGCTTTCGCCATGGATGAAGAAGAAGAGCTTTTGACCAATGAGAACACTGTGGATGATGAGTATCGTCCCAGTAAGCTATGCGGGAGATATTTTAACATCTGTAGTGTTTTAAAAAATGTATATTAATATTATATATTATCTTACTGTAAGATTCTTTTATATTATTACTCACATACTATATAGTTTTAAGGTATTTTGGCATGGATGTGCAACAAAAAAATATATATTTCACCAGTTAGCTTTTTAACTCGATAATAATGTAGTTAGCTTTTTTAATTTCAATTTCGTTTCTGTTTTGTTTTTTATCATGGCTGAAACTACATCCACCACTACCATTAAATTATTAAAGATTGTGTTACAAACTTAAATAGTATATAGTATAATATTCTATTTTATGTATTTCTGTATATAACATGTTTTCTTCATTACCAATATTATTTAGCATTGGAACCACTACCATACCGTTTACCCACCACCTCTATATTGTATAACTACCACAATCTTCATCACCACCACAACCACATCCACAATTACATCCACTACTTAAAGATTGTGTTACATACTTATAAAATATATAGAATACTGTTCTATTTTATGTGTTTCTATATAGAACGTTGTCTTCTTCGTTATCAATATTATTCATCATTTTAAATCTTTCATATTCGATTTGAAAAATTCAAGATTTGTTAAATGCAGAAAAAAAATGTAAACTTTTTTTACATAAACTAGAAAGTTTATATTAACCTTTTTGAAAAAATATATTACTAACAAATATAAAGAGGTAAAGTGTTTTATTCCAAAAAACATTAAAAACAAAAAAGCTGGATTTTTCTTTGTTATTTTAAAGGATAGTTTGGTCATTTTACAAGAGTCATGTGTTAGTTTCTTTATTTTTTACTTTATAATGCTATATTCTTAATTTTATTATTCAAATTGATTATTCACCTAATTCATCCTAGTTTTAAAAGTTTATTTAAAGAATAAAACTGATGAACACAAAAAATATGTTTAAACTAAAATCTAACAAGCAAAGATTCATAAATTTATGTACTGTATGTATAAATACTTAAATAGTATGTGGAAAAATGTTTACTTCTTTTAAAAAATTTAGTAAATATTACGGCAAAAAATAACTAAATAGTAAAATATAAATAATAATCAATCAATCATTTGTTTGATATGTAGTTTTTGTTTGTAGGTTATTAATTTATTGTGTCGTATATGATTTCATAAGAAAATATATTAGTTACTTGAAAAAGGGAAATATTTCATGTTTTCTAATCTTTAAGTTGGGTTGATATGTAGTTTTTATTTGTAGGTTAGAATCTCATATCCATCTCGATTTCGTTGTTGTTTACTCGACCAAGAATCTTTTCATAGTTTTCTCCAATGTTTATCGAGGCACAGCTCCAATGATACTGTCTTTCTTCTCACCGTCTTTGAAGATGATCACGGTCGGAACGCTTCTTATCCCGTAACGGTCCACCGTGATACTTGAGGATCAGCGATTGGTTTCCTCTTCTCAACGTATTGATTAGGATCAGCCATTGCTTCAAGAGCTCCTCTAGCCTAATCAAACAAGAGACAACCCAGAAAATGAAAACTTGGAGATTGGAATCCATACACGATTCCATAGACAACAACAAAGTTTGGGATGTGAAATGAAGAATTGGTACCTCTTGTTCTTTTTTGAGATCTTGAGCTGGCTTAATTTGATAGAAGATGGTGTCGTCTAACTATCCTCAAAATGGGATTTGGCATGGAGCTACAAAATGGGAATTTGGGAATTTTGATTTTTAGGGTTCTAAACTTTCAAAAATTGGGGATTTTTGATCCGTTATAAGGTTCAACTGAGTCGGGTCGGGTTAAATACGAAACGGGTTATTAATTGGATTCAAACCGTGGTTCAATTGGTTTTCTATTGGTTTTAGTTTGAAAATCAAGTAAACCCACACAGTTGGGTAAATAGGAATAGAACTATGAATTCGGGGGAAAATAGGAATAAAACTATTGATTTTGGTAGATAGAGGACGAGATCAAAGTTCTGTGTAGTTCTGATACGATGCGATAGTTCTTGGGGGGAAATAGGTCGTCGATCCCTACTTTTCTTAAGAATAATTAAGGATCTGATTCGTTAAGAGTTATCTAAATTCATTTTTTGTAACAAGCAATTTGTAGATTAATTTTGGGCTATTTTTAAACTTGCTAAATAGAGTTTAACTTTATTATGTTTTTAATTAACATAGAATGACCTATTCATTACATGTTTTAATATAACCCTTAATATATTATTTGTGGAATTTTAATTTGTAGAAGTGTCATTTACACTCGTTTTCGCCTAATAATGGGTCGATAACGGCACAAATGAGAACGTCGGCGACAGAGAAATCAGGGTTTACATTCTTGGGATGCAAGTTAACCGGATCAGGCTCGACCTATTTGGGAAGACCATGGGGAGCTTATTCTAGGGTTGTCTTTGCTTATTCCTTCTTCTCCAACGTCGTCGCACCTCAAGGCTGGAACCAATGGGGAGACTCAACCAAACAAAAGTAACCTTTTTTTTTACCCTTTTGGTTTTCTCGTTAAATTTTTATGAATATTTTTTACTGATTAATAATGTACTAATATTGATTTGTGATCAGTACTGTATTATGGTGAATACAAATGTTATGGTCCTGGAGCAGACAGGGGACAAAGGGTGAAATGGTCGAAACAGCTATCGGACGACGAAGCAACTGTCTTCTTGAGCAAAGACTTTATCGGCGGCAAAGACTGGCTCCGACTTCAAAATTGCTCCTAAATCCAAACTCTAAATAAATAAATTAAATTCATTAACAATAATTCCATCATTTGATTACTATATTTTCTTCCCTTTTTTCTTGTACAAATCCTTTATACAATACATATCGCTTGTGATTTAAAATGTGTGTAATTTATTTAAAACAGTGTGCAACATATAATAAGCTTGATGGTTGATTCTTGTATAGGTCATTTCCCATAACTAAATGCAAGAAATTGTGAAACAGATAGAGAGAACAACCAATAAAAGGTTTCTTTAAAAAAAAGGGAAAAAGAAAGAATGAATCATATAAAGAAGAAGAGAAAATTCAATTTAAAAATATTATTCAACAGACGCGTCTAAACATAACGATTATAACCACGGTATCGGTTTAAACATAAACCGGGAAATTGATGACGGTTATATTTCTCCTTAACCGGTTGAAGATGGGTTAGTAACTTAATTGATTTTACAAATCACTTGGTTTTAAACTAAGAAGAAGAAGTGGGTTATCTCGTTTTCGGATTAAAGATGACAGTGTAGTTACCGTTGTGATAACAGTAACAAAACCTCTCATTGATTTCCTTAAAACTCAAATTTTAATATGACCGTTGCGATTCATATTTCCTTTTCTTGTAAAACCTCTTTATTAATTTACTTCTTCCTTGATCGAGAAAATCAAAATTCTCTATTGTGATTAACTTCTTCTTCTTCTTCTTCTTCTTCTTCTAAACCCTAAAATCAATACTAAAACAATCTCCTTAGTTCGTTTTCTTGTCGAAGTCGATCCATCTTCTCCTTGGAATCTTCGATTTATCGTTGCTGGAAAAAGCTTCTATCTTTCAGCTTTCTTCTCCTCGATTTGTTGATGTGAGATTAGGTTTGGATGATCGGGAGATACGTAACAGGGCGATCAAAACGGTGTTGAGTTAGTGACGTGGTGGCGATCGAGGCTTTTGGGTCCTCTTCTTCAGGTTCCTCATGGCGGTGCTCTTGCTTCTTCTTCTTCTTCTTCTAGGTACCGCTCTATCTCTTCTTGTTACTCAGACTTGGAATTTTCCCTCTTGGTCTTGTTCTTGTTGATCTCTCTGGTGTCTTAGCGTTAGTTACACTTTTATCCAATTTTAGGGGTTTATTAATCAGAGCAACGAATCATTCAAGGTAGAGCCTGTGTGTGTAACTCCAACTATGTCTGTGAAGAAAAGGGAGATTCCTCTGAGTTACATTTTGACCAACTTAAGGAACTGTTCTGAAGCGGGGCTACAGTATCTTGGTGGGGAGGTTGAAACTTACCAATGTATTGGATTCTTTTATGACATGGGATATGCTCATTCAATAGGTATGAACTTTAATTACTTGTAATTGCTTGCTGCTGCGTTTTAATTGGGTTTGTGAAAACTGCAGGCATATGCTCAATTTGTGGACCTATTAGCTTGAACTTTCTACAAACCCAAAAGACTTCTTCTGTGGAGTTTGGAGCTGATGAGGTGATTCTCATTACCAATAGTTTTAATTTTCTGTTGAGTCTTTGCTGGATACCCTTTTGGGCTTTGTATCTAATACATGTATCATGCCTCCTAATGGAGTAAGAGTTGCTATGGAAATGCAAGCTGAAGCTGTAGAAAGAGAGCCCATATTCTCGAGTCTGCAAGTATCCTTAATAGTTTATGTTCTGGGAGATTGAAACTATGCGCCTGCTACTGCACATTTCGTTCAAATTCCTTGATCAAAGCTCCCAATTTCTCCTTTTTAATTTATTTACAATTACAACACAATAAACCCTGCTTAAAAATGTTGTTCCTCATAATCAACTTTAACAGGAGAACGTCAAAGCCCATATCAACAGAGCTGATGGTAAGAAAAGTTGTGTAATCTTGGAATCAGAAGCTGCACAGATGGACCAAGTCAATCGAGCTCAAGGTTAGTATGTAGTAAGCATTTAAGTTATGTAATCTTCTGCACCATCAAAAGGTGTACCTCTTTTAGTTTATCTATCATGTTAGCCTTGTGATTCATGTATTATATTTTATTACTCTCTTTGTTTTGTACTGAGAGTTTGTGGTTCTCTGTCTCCATTGTATCTCGCTTCTGTACTTCTTATATATGATTTTGATGTATTCAATGTTAGATAATGAAGATCTGTCTTTGCGTTATGCTTTTGTTTCAGGGAGCAGACTCAAGATTCGATGGTCCAGAAGATTAGAAAACGAACGTCGATTCCTACGATGATGATGATGATGATCTCTGCAACATATTTCATCATCCGTAAGTTTAGAGATTGATCAGAGCACAAAGTATAAATATTATTACATCATCGTTTCATTGATTGAATGATGATTTTTATTGATCCTATGTTTTCTTTCAGTCAAGATCGATGTCACAGGATATTGAATCTAGCCAGAGAGATTAGGAGGAAATTTAAAAGAGGATTATATAGTGGAGAGAGGTATTAGCAGGTTCGTAATATTAGTTTGTCTTTAATTATAAGAAGATTGAATTAGTGTCAAATTATGAAGTCTCTGATGTGTTTGTTTTGTATTATGTGTAAAATTCGGGAACGGCCACTGTCTGAGTCGCCTCAGGATACTTGAGATATGGGAGAAATCACAGCCTTGAAGGTATATTATAACTTTTCTAACTTTTATTTTTAACTAAGAATAATAGATTTTGATATATGTTTATATCTTCTAAAATATACATAAAAGAAAAAAAGATTTTATATTTTCCATTTCTATTTTTTCTGATTTTAAACTATCAAAACTTTTTAAATCAAATTTCAAGTAAACAGTTTTAATATTGAATAAACAAAAATGGTTTTTTTTGGGGTTAAATATAAGTGTTAAATTTAATTACGTTGAAAACAAAATGGGCCGAACATCCAGTCCCTTTGTGGTCCGTTAGAGGTGTATAAGTTCAACATGTTTTTCACGTATTGTAAATTTAACGCTTAGGTTTAAAGGTTTTTTTATGATGAATATTTTTAAGTAAATTTTGATTTTTAACAACAACATCATTATACAAAATGTTTTTACTTTAAAAAAAAAATATAAATGTTAAATTAAAATATGATGAAAACAAATAGGATAGGGCATTCAAAATCCCTTTGTGGTCCTTTAGTTTGTTTAAGGTCTTTTTTGATAAAAAGTTTAAGTAAATTGTTTTGATTTTTTAAATAAATTTTTCATTATACACTATAGTTTGGTGTATAAGTTTAATATATTTTCACGTATCGTGAGTTTAACACTTCAACGCATTAATCCATTAATACCCATGTTTTCATTAGTTGGAATGGTTTGACATCCCTAGCTTCAAGTTTTAAGGGTTTCCATAATTATTTTGACTTCTAACCAAAAAATTTTCATCATATTTTTCATCATACAAAATATTTTGGATGGCATATTTAGATACGTTGAAATAGAATGGCAAACTTTTCATAGCTTACGTTAAAACATAAATTTTAACCCACATTTTAACGTATGAAGTAAAATATTTGCATATAAAATTATAACATTAACATCGTATCTTCTAATATAGATTAGGGCCCGTATAGGGTTATTTATTTTCAAATATTGTAAGAATGTTATATCCAAAGTATTCAAAAAAAGAATATAATTTTTTAAGTTGGTAAATTGTTTTTGTTGAACAAAATTTTTTGTGTATCATGCATATTTAAAAGTTGTTATTAAACATTCATTATAAAATTCTAGTAATGTTAAATATCGATCACCAAAAAAATTGTGAGCTATTCACTATTTTCATAATATTACTATTAACAATATTTTTTAAAAAACTTATTTAGAAATTATACCCTAAACATTACTATACCATTATCCTAAAAAAAATTATTTCCTAACTTCCAATTTTTTAAGAAAACCATTCTCGCATATTTTATTTTACTTTGCAATTTATTGTATTTCTTAAATTTAATTAATTATTACAAAATTTGATGGTAAAGTTCTTATAAATAAACATCAATCCAAAAAAAATTGAGTTATAGTGTCGTTGAGATAAGCATTAAGAAAATAATTTAAATATGAAACTATACAAAATTACACATTTGGAAAAAAAAATTATTTTAGAAATCATTATACTACAAATTATATTATTGACTTTTTTTTATCCTTAAACTTTTGTTATCATTATACTACAAATTATATTGACTTTTGTTATCCTAAAACTTTTGTTATCATTATACTACAAATGAGATTGCGCCCGCACAGCCGTGGTCCAGTGGTAAGGGAGAATTGGGGAAAGGTTGGAAGGAACTAACCCAGGTTCGATCTACCCTGGAAACAAAAATCATGGTTGTGTGAGAAGTCTGTCAGTTGGTTTACCTGGTAGTCAGAAATGCAGGCGGTCTGACTACCCCCTGGCATTAGTCGGAAAGCATTCCAAACTCGGAATATAGTGTGGTGGCCCTTCGGAGAGAAGTCCATTCTGAAGCACTTCGGTGCGTTTCTAACGGGGCTGATCCGGTCCGTATCAGCCGATAGGGTTTACCAAAAAAAAAAAAGATTGCACTATGACAACCTTTAAATGTAAAGTAAAATTAAGCAACATTTAAATATAAATTAAAAAATAAATAATTATAAAATATTTGTTATTTTAATAAACAAATTTATTTTGTTAAAACCATAATCTCGTTTAATTATACCAGCTAAATCTTAATTCTCTTTTATAAATTGAAACCTTGTATGTGAAACTCTACATTGTAACCTTGTATAAATTGTGTAAGTGAAACTCTACTCCTTATTTATAAACATAAATCGACATAACAAAAACCCTTGTTTAATTGTAAAATCTAAATCACAATCATATAACATGTTTAGTTGGTTTAGTTGTAAACTTTAATTCTTCTTTATAAACTAAAATCGGCATACAATATTTTTTTAAATTGTCAATATTAAACCCTAAACTCTTTGATAAAACCAAACTGACATAACTTAAAGTTAGGTTAATAATTTAATTATAAGTAAAAAGTTCTCAGTATTTTAATTTTGTTTGTATTTTTCTATTTTTATCTAATTTTTTACAAAATAGACGTGTCACATTCCGCCAACTAATGTTTTACTTGACATATATCATAATCACGTGAGTTAATAACTATGAAAACCAAGTTTTACATAATTGTTAAATTTCCTGAATTTTTATTTTCTTCTTTCTATTTTGTAAATATTCTTTTTTTTTAAAACTAATTTATATATATTCTTACCACTATTTATCTGACACGTGTCAACATTTTATCGATCCAATTAACATGTGTCACGACCTTGTTAATGGCTAACTTTGAAAACCTAACTTTATATAATAAGATATGATTTTATAAGAAAATATCTTATTTACTTTAAAAAGGGAAATATTGTATATATCTTTAAATTTGTTTGAGATGTAATTTTTGTTTTTTGGCTATATAGTATATGATTTCATTAGAAAAAAATATTAGATATCTATACTATATAAAAGTTGAGGCTATAAGCTTTTGAAGGCGTCCACATATGATTTTAAACGACCAATCGCGGTTAGACATTTCACTAATTAACATATTTTAAATTATGACGAATTTTATGTTAAGATTTATTTTGTAAAAAGGCAAATAATATATATATATATATATATGGAAATAAAAGATATATTTTAAAACATGGAAATATTTCTAAATTTAATATTTATTTTTCTTAAAAAATAAATGATATAAAACTAATCAAAATATAAAAATTTAATTTTTGTTAAATTAAAAACGAAAATACTTAATTTTTATTAAATTTTTAAATTAAAATACTTCAAAATTTATTGTGAATATTGTGTTTAAGTAAATTTCTATTTCTAAAAAGTAAAATCGAGTTGAATAATTAAGACAATTAGCCCTAACAGTTCAACTATAAATAAAAAGTCTAGACCTTTACATTAGTATCTTGTTGTATTAGTTTCATAGTTCTGATGTTTTTTTTTTGGTGTAGTTTAGATTTTTTGATAATATAATATTTTTTGTATTTGCGTTTTTGAAATTGTTTCCATGATTTGATTTGGTTATCATGCATTTATAATTTTTTGTTCCATTCAAGGTTATAATTGTGTTTTTATAGTGTTGTATTATTTTGGTGTGTTTTAATTGTTTAGTGCAATTCTAACTTTTTGTTTTTTACGTTTTGTTTATGTAATAGGAGTATTGACTATATTGGAATCTTTGATTGAAAAAGTCTTTTAATGAAGTAATTGGAGTTGATGTTAGGCAGAGAATGCTAAGGTAAAAAGCGCAATCCGATATCTTTATTTGTTTGCTTTTTGTTTGTTTATTCTTTACTGATATCTTGGTTAGTTAATTTATTTGTTTATGAAATTTAGTATGGGTATTCTGAAAATATAAAACTAAGTTATGGTCGAAAGTAAGAAAGAACTAGATTAATTTTTAACTGAACTAATTAATTAAAGTATAATACCTTTATATTATTGTATCAACTTTTATCCATATTTTTTTTTCTTATCATACAAAAAAGTTATGGATAATTTTTCACAAATAAAAATTATTTGAAATAATTTACACACCACTCATATAATAAGATTATGCAAATGGATGTTTTGTAGTTGTTACTCAAAAACTAGTCTCAAGAGCTTTTCTATGAATGAAGAGTTTCAAACATGTGTTTAGTTGGTGAGTCCCAAAATGGCCTTTTTAATCATGTTAATTTAAAACCCCAATAACCTATTTTTTTCTATCTTCAGAGATTTTTTCATGTTTTTCAATCATGCGGATCCTCATCTAGTGAATTTTAATGTGACTCCACTTCTATATCAATATGTTATAGATATTGAAATCATTTAAATAATAAAAAAATTTCTTAAAATTAAGCAAAAGACAAGCAAAATATGACCAAAATAAGACTTCATTACAATGCCATCAACCTTAGTACAAGTTTGACTTATGAAGTGTGTTCTATCATGTTGTCACCCAATTTTTATAATATCAAAAGAAAAGTACAAAATAAATTATTTCCAAAATTATGGCTCTTATTACATCAATTGTTGTCACTCAATTGTTGTTTTTATAATATTAATTTTGAAATTAATATGGGTAATTTGGAATTGATGAAAAATTCAATTGGATCATATAATTAGAAGATCATATATTATGGATCATATAATTAGAAGATCATATATTATGGATCTTATCAAAAAATATATTAATAACTAATTAAATGAAACTAAATTTTGATATGAAATATTTTAATAAAATATTTAATTTTTTGAATAGGGAATTATTTTTTTCATTATTTTTTACAAACTCAAAAAAAAAATTCATTTGTAAAACTAAATAAAAATACATACATAATGTTAATTATAAACATATAATGTAACTTCAACATCAAATAAATTATGCACTTATTCATTTCATTTCTTTTCACGATTCAATATTTCGCCTTCATATTTGGATCAAAATATTACAATTAATAAATTTCTTGACTTTTACTTTCTTACTTCTTTTCAATTAAATTGTATTTTTAATGAAAAATAACTATACTTTTTGGATATAATAGGAAAAAAACCATATCACTGAAGTAAATAGAATATTCAACAATATAATGCATTGTTCAAATAACAGATTAGTTATCAACTTAGCATATAAATCTTTACAAAAAGACTAGGTCGAGTTCATTTTGATCCTTACGTTCCAACTTCAAAGTTTTGCGAGAGATTAACATATAAGAACAAATTACAAATACATATGTTTGTTGTAAAGACTATAATACTTTTCTTAAAAACTTTAATTAAATGTTTAATCTCCAAATTAGATAGGTTTGTGTTTTTCAATAAAGTTGAGTTTGTGCTTTAATCACTTTGCCATTTGCTTTTACGACTTCTTCACTCTCTACGACTTTGCCTGGAAGAAACCATTTAGTTAAATCCACTTTTGTACATTTGAGTTGATTACAACAATATACATTTCTTGGTATTAGGTGCAATTTTTATTCTTTTTCCAACTACTAATATTTTTTAATTATAATTTATAACTCACATACTTAAAAGGAATGATAATGACTAATTACACAAATAATCAAAAAAAAAACATGGTTATTTTGTCTTTTCAACATTGGCTGCATGCTTTATATAAAAAGATAAATTTGTCAATCTTATAAAGGAAAAAAAAATTCATAATAAGTCTTTCTTCTCTATATATACATCTTCTCCCATTCAACAAAACAACACACCAACCCTAAATCTTCTTCTTCATCCTTCTTTGTCATACAAAGCTTCCAAGCTTAACCTTAGATACAATCTTAAAACATGAAGAGGTATTGTTCATAGTCCTCAAGCAAGCTTACTACGTTTCTTTTCTATAGCAAAACATAACCTATACGATCGCCTAAACCTCCATCTCCCTAAACATTTTTCCCAATTTCCCAATTTCCTCATTTCCCGGGGAACTTCCCTTAGTACCCAATCAAGTAACAGGTTATTCAATACCTTTAGTCCTACACATCCAACTACAATATCAACCTTAACCTCCACGCGACGCTCCATTCACCGCAATACCATGAGAATGCAGGTTTCTTGTGGTAGCTTCAAGTGAACAAACCCATACAATGGTCGTTCATAGCTTTGTAAGTACCAAAAATTTTGAGTCTTTATATCCAAAAAACAGAGTATCCTCTGTTTTAAAAACAGAGCATTTGATACTATTATGTTTGTTTCTTATTGTTTAGAGAAAAAAAAGCAACTTCCCTTGGTAAACACATGAACCTGATGATACGTTTCGTCGTATTTGTGGTGAGTGGACTGTTACGTTGAGCTTGGGGTTTGATATCGAAGATGGTTGCGTAGGACTCAAGGTATTGAATAAACTGAAACTTGGTAGGGTACTTGGGGAAATTCTCAGGGTGGGGAAAGTTGTGTAATTGGCAATGTTTAGGGAGATGAAGTTTGAGGCGGTCGTAGGTTCTGTTTTGCCATAGAGAAGCAATGCAGTTAGCTTGCTCGAGGATTATGAATGGTGCTCCTTCACGTTCTACCATGCAGCCACGGCTAGGCCTGATGGGCCATTTCCGACCATTGTGGTCGATCTAGACCAAAATTAATTACTCTTTTTTCTATCTTCTGTGACTTTTGTTTTGTCAACATGTATGATGTGTTTTTTTTTTTTTTTAATAAAGAGTTTGCATGGAAAAGAAAAAGTCCAAAATAACAAGAATTGGGGATGATTTTTCTATTCTATAACTCTTTAAGTGTCTTTTAAAAAAATAGTGACTTAGATAATAACTGGTTATTTGATAGGAGTTTTAAAAGAAATTGATGATTTTTTAGGTGTTTACATAAATTCTAGATAAAAAGATTATAACATAAAGAAAATAAATCTATGTGATTTAACAAATATATGTGTTATGACCAAATTTGTCTTTTTTTATCTTTCTGACTTTTAAATTACCAAAGTCAACATCATGCAATAACATTAACTTATGTGTACACGATACACGTCAATTTAGGCTTGGACGTTACGATATGTGGATCGGATATTTCGGA